ATTGAATATTTGTAGAGAGTGTATAAACTTGGTCAGTTTGTAGTTCTTTTCATACAGCTTTCATATGTGTACGTAAAGTACTTTTGAAAATATAGCCCTTTTAAAACGAATGAATTATTTATGCTAATCCTATACTTCAAACAAATCTCATAATTGCTTCTTCTAAATATCCTTATTACCTTTCAAATACTTATTTATGCAGCATTTACGCGCAACACTGACACGTGCCTAACTCAACCAAAAATGGTACGCTTCTGTATTGTATAGATTCGTCTAGATAATATTAACAGCTTGTAAGGATTATGTTAATTTTCCTAACAGTTAAATTTTGAGTTAAAGTTCCTTTCCTGTCTTCCTGAATTTCAACCTACAACTTCCGGCCAGAACGTATTTTTAGAATCGCGTTTGAATGCAAATTGAGGATAAGTATTTGACCTCGAAGTTCTACTGTCTTAGTTAGAAAGAACCAGTGATTCTGGCTAGCACGCGTCCGCTTTTTTTAGGCTATTCTCTCTTAAGCTATTGTTACTGTCGGCCCTTGATAGCTTCGCCGTCATTCAGCTTTAAAGGGCCAACTCGGTTAGAATGTTGATAGCTTCGGCTATATCCTTTTAGTTAAGATTAGTTAAGTTTTAGTTCTTAGTTTCCTAAGTTCAAGTCCGAGTTGCTGCTTTATTGTAAAACTCTAAGACGGAGTTCTGCTACACCTTATTGGAAAAATAAAGGGTCTTTAACCCTTTTCAAGTCTTATTTACTGTCTCACCAACTGAAGCGATTATTCGTTTACCAGTTCTTAAGATTCTACAAATTCAATTGTAACTTAAAAGTACACAGCACAGAATCTTACAAGCTTTTTAAAAGTATGCATTGTAAAATATAATATTTTCATATTATTTAAATTAAAAAAAACCTGTTGTATTAAGGAGCGTCTTTTATGTATATACACGTTTCGAGAGTATTTGAGCTAATGTTCCTTTAGACTAAAAACATTTAAAAACAGTCTATCTTTAGTATTTCCGATAGATCCGGAGATAATCCCCCCCTACATTGTTGCCATTGCTCGCTTTGAAATCGTTGAGTTTGTTAATAAAATATTTGTTTAAGTTTTACAAAATTTTAAATACACAATAACGTATTTAAAAACAACATAATTTTAGAATTTCCGATAGATAGTCTCGCGCGCTGGAGATAAAAGTGCTCTTTCCCGTTCAGTGTTGCCATTGCTCGCTTTCAAATACTTGAGTTTGTTAATCATAAATTCTTTAAGTTTTACAGAATATGAAATACACAACAAAAAAACAAATTCGAAATTCAAAATTCGTGCTTCCAGGTGTCATATTCGGGTGGACGACCACGTTATTCAAAATTGGATGGCTCTAGGTACAGTTTTTTTTTCACAATGCGAAAATCATGCATACATTCATGCAAATTCTTCATCATTTAATTTCTTTAAATATACAGGACGACAATACAGGACGACAACATTTCATTGCAACAATTTGAAATGTGATTCAGACTTTTTTAGTGATTCAACGCAAATTCCTGTTAAAATTTCTAGCAACTCTCTAACTCTCTACTTTGGATATTATATTTCGGGAACTGGAAGTCCTTTCTCTTTTCATATTTATTATAAACAAGAAGGTGCTACTTTGGTAGACGCGCACACGGGTTTTTGGAGTAAAAAAAAATAACGTTTGGCCGTAGATGATGATCTATACGAATTATGGTAACCCATTCCTGGACCAATGATTTGTGGTAACCGATAGTTTGAGCGCTGTAGCGTTTGACCATGGCCAACTGTAGTTGGCCATGGTTTGACGTCTTTAATTTTTTAAATAGTGCGTTTTATAATGTACAAATTCTGCGTTATAAATGTTATGTATGGCTGATAAATATTGATAATCGACTCGTGGTAGTCTCGTGGACAGCATTGCGTTAAATCAATAAAAACAGAGGTAATTTCTGGTCCCAGTCCTGTTGGTAACGAGAGGTTATCGATTAAACTTCTCTACCATGCGGTCTGACTGGGGATGTAAAGGCGTCATTTGGGTTTTGTCAATGCAGAGTTCTTTGATCACAGCCGAAATGAAATTCCTTCCCTGATCGGAATGTAGCTGAAGAGGCACTCCGAGCCTGAATATTCAGAGCTGTGTCATTGCCTCTGCTGCTGTGACAGTCTCTTGATCTGGAATAGAACACACTTCAGGCCACTTGATGAAGTAATTAATGACAACGAAGATCAATTTGTTTTTGTTATCATCAGCAATTCGTGGCAGAGGTCCCAGGTGTCAAACTCGATGCGTTCAAAAGGTGCTCCTACACTGTAACGTTGCATCTTGTCTCGGTTGCCTTTCTTCTATCCTTTTCGATCCGCGCTGGCATCGCAAGCCTGGCGCTACTTTTGCACGCCATCCTTTGCTTTACTCCAGTAGAAGCTCTCTCGAACTGTCTGGAAAGTCTTCGTAATTTCGAAGTGGCCTCCTGCAGGGCTGATATGTAGTTCTTTAAGAACATTGGGATCTTGGAAATATCAGCTGTCATCGGAAAGCCTTTCCATCATCCGATTAGAATTTCCAGTACAAGACGCCGTTTCAGATATGGAGTGAATCTCAGATAGCCTAATATTATTTTTTCGTATGACTATAGATCGAAATTTTCCTGCCAGGTAGATTTTCTGTTTGAAGTCTCCATTAAGTCAATTATGAGTTTAATGTCGCCGTTTTCCAACTGGTTTTTCCTGACTTCTCTTTCCCTCCATGGGTCAGCCGATGCTGATGTTGTAGCTTGACGTATAAGCAGACTAAGCAGCTTGTATTTCGCTTCGACCCTGAAACAATATAGGCAGCTTTCAGCAGGATAACGTGTCGGTGTTTCGATGAGATGATCCCTTCCGATATCGAAAGTGATGTCCTCCGAGGCTGAATGCAGCTCTCTGAGCAGGGTCTCTCTGAGCAGACGAGGCGTCGTCGTTTCCTGGTGAGAATCCCTTCTGATGATGGATAGTTACGCCATCTGATGCTGAAAGCAGTTTGTTGCTTTTAAAGTCCAAGGAAAAATTGTGTTTCCTTAGAAAGTCCAATCCGAGTAAGCAAGGATCTGTAATATCTGCCACATATGCCGTGTGATAGAAGCGGCACTTCCAAACGTGATGTTCACTTTTAACTTTCCATCTATGTCGATTTTATCACCAGACGCAGTCTCGAGGGTAACACTTAATGGCGGCCAAATGAGTTTATCTTTAAATTGCTGAGCTAAATCTTTCTGAATGATGGCAACATTTGCTCCTGTGCGTATGGCGGTACTGCAAGGAACTCCATTGATATGCCCATTGATGAATAATCCATTACTGCGGCCACTCACTGCAAAAATCTGAGGCACTTTAAAATGGAACATCTCATTGTCTTTCAAAATCCGCTCCGTGAGATATCCAATAATTTGTTTCCTGCGTTGTTGCTGGAAAATGGTTTTATTTTCCATTCCCTGGGGTGCTTTGCAATTCCTCCGTACGTGGCCTTCAACACCGCAGTTCCAGCAGTTTAGGATTTGTTTCTTATCATTCCAATTCCATCTCAGAGCAATGACTTGTCTAGTTAAAGCATCCGCTTATTTTCCGTGCCTTTGGGTATTCCGCAGTTCCTTCGTACGTGACCTTCAGCACCACATTTCCAATACTTTATAGTCGGTTTGCGACCATTCCGACTGGAATAAGATGGCGATGGTTTTGACGACTAATTTTGGTCGCTAAATTTGGCAAGAAATGGTCAAAAGACAAAAGACATCTAACCAGGCAACCATTTGATACGATCCCTGTTTAACTGTAACGAGTATTGTAATTGAATAACTGTAATTAATGCTATATGTAGCATTGGCCCTCATATACCTTCCAATAATTGCATGGCCCTCATAAACCTTCCAGTTTATAGAGATTTCTCGGCGGCCGGGGATAAACTATATAAAGTCGGAGAAAGCATCAATTTCCCAGTTGTCAGGTCAGAGCTGAATCAAGACCAACTAGATATCTAGTTGGCTTTGGCTGAATTCGGAGTATTAAGATATCGGTGAGAGTTTCCCCTTTTAGATGCAATTTGCATTGTTTGTGTTTAACGCTCTTTGTAGTTTGATGTGTAACTATTGATTGTCCCCTGTGATACTGTGAAGAGCTGTACGATTATTTTTATAGAAAGCTCCAGAACTCTGAAATGTTTCTTTTGGTAAAATAAATTTTATCAAGCTGTCATCGGTTCTATGCGCATTCAATCTATTACTAACCCAAAAGCACGCAACTGTATATTTAATTTATGCCAATTGTTTAGAAAATAAGATCGATAATAATTGTTTAAGAAGTAAAAATGAAGCAACTATTGAAAAACAAATAAATTAATATTTTGGTTACCAGAAATTCAAAATTTGCTATGTTATTGCTTAAATAATAAAGAGACATTCATTAAATTTTACTAACAGTCCTGCAATTTTAGTATTTTTTCTGTTTTTGTTGTATTCCAAATTACAACAGCTATTATAAGCAAATCGTGATATTTTTTGCTTTAAACATATTTTTAAAATATTAACTTTTGGAATTTGTCAGTAATAGAAGAGACGTCGATATAATTTTTACAGAGGGTTTTGCTGAAAATTTTTTAAAGGGAATGTCGAAAAAAAAATGAATTTCCTATATAACAATACGCATTTACTACTGAAGTTTGCAAGAAAGTGAGTCTCCGCAGTTCTCTGATGTTTTTAAAGAAAAAACAGATCGCTGTGCACTTGGGAGAAGAATAGAGCAAAAAAATTACAGAAAGGTTTGACGTAGAATGCGTTTAATTTTAACATAAAAGTAATCCTGATTTTATAATTAAAATCTGCATTTTAAACTCTTTTCGTATGTTAATAACGTCTACGACACGATTTCTCGTAATTTATTTTGATTGCTTTTGCAAACGATGGATGGGAAAGCCTCGTTTTATTGTCAGTAGATTGCAGCACCTGTCAAAGCGTCAGAGTTGTTCGGCAAAGCTTCCAATATGGAAGAGCGAAGTGTTTCTGTTAAAGCTGTAATACTTTTTCCTTGTTTTGGTATCTATTTCTTTCTCTCTGTTAATACTAATTAAGGTTGCATTAGTTGTGGTCTAAAAAGCCATTAAACATTTTAATAAGAATTTCAAGAAGTATATATATATATATTTAATTCTCTAATTAACATCCTCTGAAAAATGTTTTATGTATGAATTTAATTCTAGAGGAGTCCGAAACTGAACTGAGCATTGATAAAAGAGAAGTAGTATGAGCTTAACCTTTTTATTGTGCATGAATGCAACAACTGTGTACACATTTTAAGCATGATCTTTTCACCTTAAACTGTCCTGGAGATGTATATCGGAGCATATTTCTTGCTGCACTTCTTCATCTAAGGATATAGAAGTATTGCTAGGTTTGCTATCTATTTGTAAGGTTTTAAACTGGTGTTTCTTTCTTTGTTGAGGTTTTTGGATATTGGAGAGAAAGATTTTAAGCATAGGCTTGAAATAGAAGTTTATTACTAAAGAAGACAATTCAAGATACTAAAGATGTTTCATTATTGTTGGCTCATTGATGCTAGTTCCCTGGATTTCTTAGACTTGAGTGCTCGTGAGTTTCACGAAAAGTCAAATACAAATCTACTTTCTGCTTTAGATTTATGTATACCTCCTCGAAGATATTCATATTTACCAACAAATGCTGATCTGTCGAATTATGCGATTCTGGGCCCAAGACATGTTACAGTTGAATTCATTAGGCGTACAGTATTTAGAGGACATATGCATGTCGATATTAATACTGATGTTGCAGTTTCTCCTAACATGAAACTAATTAAAATTTTTACTTATACAAAGCAAGAGGATTCAATCTTAAATGCTGTGACATCCTGTTTCTTCAGCAGTTTTACTAGAAATACTTTGGAAAGACTTGAAACAAATTTTGAACCAGAAACAGTTAGACTCTATTTAAAACAGGTTAAGACATTTTTTCATTGCATGGAAAAGTCGTTATTTCCAGCTTCTTTTGATTATGATCCCAACATCATAACATTTGAGAAACCTCGTTTAAATTATAACAGCAGATTAAGGTCACTATTCGTGGAGATGATAATGAGGAAAATAGCACTGAAGTTAATAAAGTTGCTGTTGGACAAAGTTTGTACAGATTCTGCCCTTGTTGTGTCAGTTCTTGATGCAGTTTGCTTCCCATGTATGAACAAAGCAAATCTTTTCTTTGGATATGGAGCTGAGCAAATGAAATACATTTTTTACCATCTGAGGAAAGCAAATTATTGTCATTTTGTTCAGATTTTGGAAGATCTTCGAAAAGATTCAGAATATGACTTATTGCTTCGAAGCAAACCAGAACACTTATTGGTTCTTCTCAACTGTGGAGTTAAGATTGCATATAACCCAATTGTAGAACCTTATGATTTCTTTCTGCTTGTTCCCCCGGAGCAGAGAGAACCAAATTCGTAAGTCTTTATTTTTATATAATACCTTATTTTGTATCCCAACTTTTAGTTATTCAGTAATAGGCAAACTGAATGTGTATTACTTAGCATAGTTTAATTTAGCAGTTATAGAAGAAAAGTAACTGAGCATAAACTGTATACAATAAAATTTGTTTTACTGTTTTAGTAAGATGGACAGTAAAATAAAACATGGGTAAAGTGCAGAATCGCCCACTTATTTGGCGCTTTTTCCAAGAGTAAGAAATTGGATTTTTGTAAATTTTCGTTGACTTTTTAAGGGAAAATAGGTCGATGTGTACACGGATAAAGTTAAGGGAGTGGGCAATACCATTTTTGTGCAATTCTGGGATTTTTTTTAAGTGAAAATAGGTCGATGTGTACATGGATACCGAGTATGTGCAATTCTTAAAAATGCGCCAAGCAATGGGCAATTCTGCACTTTCCCCCAAAACACTATTATATTTTAGCTTTTTTGACATTCTTGGTTATATGCACTTCCAAATAAAATTGTGGAACTGCAAAAAGGGATTTTTTAAAAATCATTTGATTATTTAATTTTGGAAACCACAGTGGAGTTACCTGCCTAAGAAGCAAAAACGTTTTTGTGGAGGATTTCCAAATGGAAACTTAGTCATTTTCAAACTGCAAGAGAGGGAAAATAACTATATAGATATTTTGTTTGCTGGGAGTTGAGCAGGCTGTAACTAACAGTTTTCAGCTGTCTTTTCTATTTAGGCATTTGTGAATTCATTAAATCAACATTGTTAAAGAGAAACGTAATTTAATGCATCCAAAATTTTTAAAGAAAAACCTGAATTGACAAACTTAATTAAATTAGTTTTAGCTTCTTTCCTTGGACCCACTGTTAAAAGTACATTTAATTACATGGGTGATTTGTAACAGAATGTGAAATATCTTTGAATATTGATAACCAAGATGCGGTGAAGACTAAAATAATTTTTTTCTTGTTAAACAAAAAATATGTATGAAATTTTTGCATAAATAAATTGCATTCAGGACTGTATTGGTAAAACTTTTAGGGCTGATTTATTAAAATAGGTGGAAAACTTGCCAACCCTCCCATGAACCAAAATAGCTTGCTGATCATACTGAATTTTCACTTATTTGGAAAGAAAAATATTAATGCAGCATTTCTCTAAACCGAACACCTTCCCTTTTCCTAAAAGCAAGCTAAGCTAAACAGTTATTTTCGGAAATCAGAAAGGTGAGAATTTAGTGAATGGATGTAGTAAAACATAAACTAACATTTAATAAATTAAAAAGCATTATACTTTTTGCTTTGCTGATGAAACTGAAAATTTAAGTTATTGTATGGATGTGCATCACAATAGTATTTTGAATTATTTGAAATTATAACTGGATTTTTACTCTAAGGTGTTTTTCAGGATTTTTGAAATGGGGTCATAATCACCCTTGCTCTATTTAAATGTACAAAATTCGAACCGTTGTCTGAATATGTGACTTCAACTCAGCCTCTTTGTGAAATAATATGTCTAAATACATCTATAAAGATGTTGATGCTCTAGGAAGTGTGTAGTTCAAAGTGAACAGCCCTAAAACCCACACACATGAAAATTACTATTAAAAGCTTTAAATTCTCTTTGAGAAAAACTGAATCGATGATGTCAACTTCTGTCACTTGGAGTGTTTTCACCATTTTTGTAATGCCCTTGGGCAAAGGAGGCCTTAACTTGCATGTCATACACCCCTTTCGTACTTTTTAAAGTCCCAAACTCTTTCTCTCAGAATCATTAAAAGTGTTTCTGTTCTAGCATGTTTATACTATGTAATTACTCATTTTTTCACAATTACAATTTTCAGAAGTATAGCTAATGTGTATTACTGTAAATCTGCAAAATCCAAAACTCAAGATTTCATATTGAAAATTCCATTTTCATCAACAAAAACCTGAAGATTTTTCAGATGAGGCTTTTTTTGTTTTTCATCAAAAGCATCTCCCTGTATAAGGGAAAATGAAGTTTTTTATGTCTTCTTGAATTCTTCAATGGATGTATGATCCTGACAGTTTTTATTTTTCTGCTTAGTGTGTCCAAATTTGGTTGATCTTTACATTATGGTTAACTTGGCGATTTTTTGGCGAAAATTTGGCGACCAACTCTCCTACAGCAACCTTCTATTTTTTTTTCCCCGCCGCCATTTTGTCTTCACGAAGTAAGTAGTAAAGACATGTTTCTTTTTTTTTATCTACGAAACACTTCTTCCAAACAATCTACTAGCCGAATTACACTTATGCTAGAAATTTTATCAAACAAAACTGCTTAATCATGACAAATATTCACTGCAAAATTGGGAAAAAGTGCACAATACCATACTCCTTACGCGTTTTTCAAATAACACATACACATAAACCATGTACACGCCGACTTATTTTTACTTAAAAAAACATCCCAGAATTGCACAAAAATGGCATTGCGCACACTCTTCACTATATCCATGTACACTGCTTTTTTCTCATAAATTAGAAAAATTTCACGAAAATACATGACAATTTTCTCAATCTTTAAACCCGGTAAAAAGAACTATATGAAATTACCTGATCGCGAAAAAAGTAATGACATTTTCCACATATAAAATAAATAAAATATCCAAAAACTTTTACCTCCAAATCATCTATTACATTATACACGTCACCAACGAATTCATACCGCAAGCATTACAAATACTTAGTATCAAATATTTTAAATTCCATGCACACATTTACTTCAACTTAAACACAATACCAATTCCTACAAACATAAAATTCACAAAATAACTATCGTTTAATTAAAATAACACTAGTACACGTCGACTTATTTTACTTAAAAAAACAAGATTGCAACACTCTACATGTACACTGCTTTTTCTCATAAATTAGAAAAATTTCACGAAACATGACAATTTTCTCAATAAACCGGTAAAAAGAACATATATGAAATTACCTGATCCGAAATATGAAATTTCCACATATAAAAATAAATAAAATATCCAAAAACTTTTACTCTAAATCATCTATATATTATAAACGTCACAACGAATTCATACCCAAACCATTACAAATGCTTAGTGTCAGATATTTAAATTATTTCCATGCAACGTTTACTTCAACTAAAACGTATACCAAATTCCTACAAACATAAAATTCACAAAATAACTATCATTTAATTAAAATATAATTAAATTCAAAAGCACTACTTAAAATATAATAATTAAATTAAAAAATACCTTCCAATCCTAATTACTTTAAACTAAATCATTGCTAATAGCAATTTTCCAATAATTACCAAATTCCTTTACTTCCACCTTACATTTAGAACAATGCATAAAAAATAATATCCTCAAATAATTAAAAATACTAACTTACCTAATCTTCTTCAGAATCTTGATTACGTGTCCGATAAACTTTTCTTCTTTCTCTTTCAGAATCTTTAAAATCATACTTCTATTTCATAGCAAGGTACCAGGTAAAATAAATAACATAATAAAACTTCTTTATTTCCCTCTCGCACAACCTTAAAGAAACATTTATTACTACCCTTTTCAGTACCACTAAATACCCATTTCGAATTTACTTTGGTTACGGCCACGGGATCCAAAAATTAAGAAACACCTTTTCACACAACACAGAATAAAGCCAAATACAAAATTTCCAGATTTTTTCCCGATTAAAGAACAGTAATTCGTCCATTAATATCACATGACGTATCCCATGATCTCTCATTTCCCTCACACAAAATAATGCGTAATCGGAACTGAGTACTGCTCACATTATTACCAAAGTCCCAAGTAGTAACCTTTATCGCCTCCAAAATGTCGCCAAACTACCAGTTACCATATTGTAAAGATCAACCCAAAATTTTAACATCCGAGCAATAGTCTGTACAGTTTGTAGAATATTTCAAAAATCGGTGCAAGATTAGCTGGAATGGTTTCAACCACTGATTGCTTCACTGAAATGACAGTTTGATATCATTCTCTGTTGATTTCTTGATCTCTGTCTGTCAGAGGTTTCTTCAAAAATCCAGATCTTGTCCACCTGTGAGATTTTATGATAGCATCCTTTCAACCATAAATCAGGAAGGTTTAAGATGACTGGTATATATTTCAAACTTCCTGCTTTGTTGTAATCTTCAGTCTCTTTGAATCTTTTTCTACACAGGCAGGCTAATTATTTCATTTTTTAATCATGTTAAAACAACTGAAGTATCTGACAAGAAATAATTTTTCTCAGTTGTATTTTTTAAGCTTCTAATAGCCAGTTTGATATAACCTTGCATCCAGAAATGCGGTAATCAATTCCAGCTGTGATCCCTTCGAGGATGCCAGTTGGGATTTTGCTAAGACTCAAGGAAACTTCATTTTCTTCTGTTTTAAAAAATATATGGGCACCATATGTTAATTTTTTTGCATCACAGAATATGTTTAAGGCTTTTGGCAATCATTTAAATAATGTATTTCTGTAGACTATTTATTGAATACTTTCTGAATATCTTCAAGTAGATCCTTAGTCCAGTACGATTTTAATTTCCAAGTCTTCTGAAAAATAATATTTGGCATAAGAAGGGCTAGTGAGGATAAAACCTTAGGATCAAAAACATTCTGATTGAATGAAAGTAAAATTCTTCATCTGGGACTTCAAGATATTACTCATCCCAACTCATCTGATGGACTATACCCGTGAAGACTTAACTCATTTCCGAGACCTTCATCTAAATCTAAACTGTTTTTCCAACTGCAGGTTGAACTCAACTCAAGACATCAGCTCTGTAGTTTCATTAATGTGTGGTTCAATTTCTTCATTTTCAGAGACACCAGTAAGACAGTTATCAGTGTAGAATGTACATCTTAACTTCACTGTGTTATTGCTTAAATTGTTCTGGTGGATTTTCTACCAAATTATTTAGGCATGTTAAAAGAAGAAATGGGGAGTAACCAATACTCAAAAACTACTACCCGTGTCTAAATTCAACAGTATTTTGTTT